GGAACTAAACAGTTAGTGTTAATTTTACTTAAAAGTTATTTATTAAAATAATATAAAAATAATATGAATGTGCGACATCGTTATTCTTTAGATATACAAAATTAAAGAAATGCATACCGCATTGCAAGCTAAGTCGGGGATCAATCATTTAATTTTATAAGATATGCAGATTCTGTATCACATGGACAAAATCTTCATCTAGGGGTATGCTCTAGATCTCTATAGTTGTCTTTTTCATTTCTGTATTATCATCATCCCATTCAATAATATGGGCAAACCATATATTATTTTATAAACCATAATATGAATTAGAATATTTTTTTCTTAAAATTTTTGAATTTAAGTAAATGTGTTCCTATGATATGCATCATCAATTTATTAAGAAAATAAAGTGATAAAAACATGTTGCATAATTATAAAAAAAATAAAAGAATAATAATTTTTATTATTAAAAATAATAAAAATATATATATAATTTTAAAAAAAATGAATACAAAATGTAAAAGTGGGCGTATCCAATGTTGCAGATCACACTCTCTAGGTGCCACATACCGTTTAGGAAAGCTACAAAAGAAATGTTTACCGATGCAAACGTGATAGAGGGCATGCGATTGACACTTGTTTTTGGGTATTTTAAAATAATACATGCCTGTCTCGTAAATGGCATGCAAGTATGTGCTGCCGTTGCTAAAATTATCCTTTTCCTTTTGCAGTAGCTTGAATTTGATTCAGATTTAGGGGTTGTTTGTATGGCTCTGAATTAAATCTTTTAGCGTTGAATGATGAACCGTTAAACATTCAGACTATTTGTTTCTCACTTCTGAATGATTCAGTGTTGATTGATTCAGCAAAACAGTACTAAATGATTCAGCATAAAAGTACGTTCTGAATGATTTAGCACAGAAGTACGTTCTGAATGATTTAGCACAGAAGTACATTCTGAATGATTCAGAGCTATTATCAAATATCATGTCACATTTAGAGTTAATTTATACAGAACCTCTGAATCATTCAATATTTAAATCAGTCAACACTTAATCATTCTGAAGTAAACACAAACATCCCTTAATCTCTAACTGATCCAAATTCTGCTGTGAAAATTTGTTTGATGAATTTGTTCTCTGCAAACATAAATAATTGGACCAAACAGAATAACCACTCTCTTCACCTTTACTTTATTATTCACTTATCACACTTGTCGAATCCACTGTTTTATTAGTTCAACAAAACCAGATATTTTACTTCCCTTCTTTTTTTCTAGTTTTTCTGGTGATAAATTCATCGGTTTTTTAGTCTAATTTCTAATTATTTTAAGGGATTATAAATTATTATATGTCCAAAATATTATTTAATTATTGCTAATACATTCTACAAACATGGTTATTGAAATCTGAGTTCTCTAGTGAGAGAAAAAAAAATTCATTTTTACCATTGAGATAATTTAGTCTCCACATCTATAATATCATCGGAATTATTAGGGATGAGTATGGGTTGGGTCGGATTTTCAGTCTATTCGACTTGACCCAAAATTTATACATCCTCCACTCGATCCAACCCGACCTTAAAAAATATACATCCTAATCCCGATCCGAACCTGACCCAATTTTTTGAGATAAAATCCAAACCCGATTTGACATGAACTAGAACTGAACCATATTTTTTTTAAAAAATCCGACTCAATTAAATCGAATCGAGTCAAAACCCGTCAGATTCAAGTCTCATGTCATCCCTAATAATTATCAACTTTATTGTATCACCATGAACTATATCATACACAAAGCATACCAATTTTATTCTTAGTTGCCCATAATATTTTAGCCTCGTTAAATATCTACATAAGTTCAGGTTCTTTTCTATGCCTATTATCGGTAGTAGAATATTGTGCAAAAAAGGATGATTCCCTTATGATTCTATATTGAAAAGTGAAATTTATTTTCAAATCTATTATACTCGTATAATTGAATTTTCTACTTCTCAAACCCGTTATGTTCATATAATCAAAATCTCTTTTTGCTTCTCAAATTTGTTATGTCATAGTTATTTTGTTAAACCATTATGTCATAGTTATTTTGTTAAATACAAAATTCTCATTTACTTGATTCAATCAAGACGTGTTTACTAATAACATCATCATCTGACACAAAGAGAAAAAATAATCTCATATTCTGTAATTGTTGGAACATGTAAAACATAAAATTTGTCAGTATTTCTCTGTCTTTTCATCATAATAAGATAATTCTTACCAATTGTCATATTTCTACTTATCACAACGTTAATTTGATGTTACAATCCAACAACAAAATCTTATATCACTATCGTGATCAAAACAAACAATATGATGCTAAAAAAATTCAATTTATTATAATAAAAGCATGATAATAACGAATATAAAACAATTGCAAAAGAAAGAAATAACACTAAGATTTACATTAAAAAATTCAAGAAAAATTATAGACAAAATAAGAAAATTTTAACTAGAAGAAGAATACAAGAGGGTTTAAAGGAGTAAAATTTAACAACTAAACCTAACCCTTGGTATATATTTAAATATATTCAAAGTAAGATAAGTTTTTACGAAATATAATTTTTTTTGTTCTTTTATTCAAACTTGATATCATTTTTTTAATTATTTTTAATCAATATATAGTATATTAAATTTGAATCAAACTCTAACAAGAATTAGAGCAGTTTTCAATACCCACCTTATCGCCAAGCTTCTTTCAACAAAATTGTTAGTGAGAAAAAATAAATTTATGTGGAAAATATGTACAGCAATCGCAGCTTAAAAGTAGCTTCAATGATTCTATTTCTTGTTACCGAGCAGGTTTAAATCCGGAGCGTAGTAGAAATGGTGTGAAATGGTAAGTGTGTTGCGGAGGATGAAAGGTGAGAGTGAGGCAGTACTTGTCTTTTACTGGCAACACTCCTTGACCAATGAGTGTAGTCAAAAAGGAAAGCAAAAATAATATTAAAGGAAAAGTTTTATTTGGGAAAATATCACGTACAACACTTTTAATATAATATTAATGTAAAATATTATCGATTTTGTTAGTATTTTTTAATAAAATTGATAAAAAATTATCAAAAATATTATTATTTCTATCATTTTTATTATTATTGAGTATTTTATCGGTTTTGTTAACATATATGATAAAACGCTACTGATTTTATTATTTTTTACTGATTTTATTATTATTAGACACTTTACTAAAAATATTAATAATTTATGTAGAAATAATAATATTTTAATAATATTTTATTAATTTTATTAAAAAAATAATAACTTAACCTTATATTAAAGTACCGTAAAATTTCCAATTTTATTTATCGTCGACACAAAAACTAAAAAGGAAAAACACATACACGCGGCAATTGCCGGGACCAATTATAAATTTGTAATCATGACAGAAATTGAGAAAAAAGAGAAAATATATGAGAAATCCGTCACTTTATTTTTCTTTTTTTTTATTTTATTTATATAGTCAGATTTAATTTGACCTATTTTTCGTTTGAATTTTAAATTTATTTTTTAATATTTTTCATGTACGATATTTATATGATATAAATTAACTAATTTCAATGTTTTACAACCTTTATTGTAATTTAAGTATTTTCTTAATAAAACTAACAGTTCTATTAAAAAAATAGTTGTTAACTGAAATATGGTTATTGTTAAAATATTTAAATATATTTATTGAAACATTATTATGTAAAAAAACTTAGACATGAATGGATATAATTATACAAATATATTTAAATGTTGTGAAAGAGAATATTGTTCTCTTTAGAGATCCTAAATTAGAATAATTGTGTCTACATGATATTTATGTTATTAATCGGTTAAGAAAATTCTAGACATAAACTTATTAATCGGTTAAGAAAATTCTAGACATAAACTATCTTTTAATAATCACATACTATTTTAAAAAGTATAATAGATTTTTTTTTATATAATTTTGTGGTTGTAATTGTTATAATTATAATTGCATTTTTATACAATATAATTACATTATGATATTTTTAGTATAATTATTAGTATTTGATCTATTAATTAATTAATTCATATATTATATAAGTCTATTAATGAGATGACTCTCCTAATTTAATTTGCTCAATTCATAACACTATGATTTAAATTAATGGTATTGTCTAAAAAATCTAATATTTCGTCTAGATCAATTAATTATTGGTAAATTAAATTATGATATCTAAGGTATTCTTATATGTCTTTTCTTGTGTTTCATTCATAAACTTTTTTAAATGTTATAAAATATGGTAGGATTAATAATTAAAAATAAATTAATATTTAAAGTAAAATACATCTAAAATTAATTAATACAACATAAAATAAAATAAAAAAATATAAGAACACATACATAAAATAATAACTGGTTAAGTAAAAAACAAAAGACTTTTCAACAGATCAAGAACTGCAAATCAACTTCTCACGTCTATAAAGGAGCAAGTTCAAATTAAACTCAATGATAATAATACTAATAAGCTAGATTATGTTAATTCTAAACTTTATAATTATTGAGATATAAACTAAGCCTTTTGTTTGTAAATATGAGTTTATACTCTTAATTGGGATGACTGTTGTACTATGAACCATTCTTATTTGGTAATAAAATCTACTTATTCAAAAAAAAAAAAAACTGGTTAAGTAACAGAGGTCGACGTAGAAGGATGAAGGAAGAGAGAAAGACCGCCGAATGAACCTACGGAAAGGCTTCCACTTGCTCATCTTCTTCTTGAATCAACTATGAAATTAAATTTGTGTTATCCCACCCTCATAAACAGACAACCTCGATGCTCGTGCGACCTCTTTTACTTCGCATTAACCTCTCTCTCTTTTCCTTTTTGTTGCTTTAATTAATTTTAGCTCATTCATTCAAACTCCTCTATATATGTGTCTGCCTCTCGCTCTTCATTTCACTGCTTCTCTTTTGCTAAATCCAACTGTTACCGCCGGTAATTTGTTCCGTCTTCACCACCCACCTTCTGGTTAAGCTAAACCCAAGGTTTCTTTTTCTTAATTATGGATATTAACATGGGGAACAACAACACCGATTCTTTTTCCACTCGGAATTGGCTTGATTTCTCTCTTTCCAACTTGCCCTCCTCTTCCTCTCATCTTTGTTTATTTGAAGCTTTCTCCCCTTCTACCACGGCCGCCGTCCAGTCTACAGCAGCAGAAGAAGATGAAGGTGCAGGTGCAGTTACCACTGCGTTTAATGAAGGCCCGAGACTCGAGGATTTTCTCGGCGCTGGTACTGCAACCAAACAACAGCATCATTTCTCAGCTGGAATACGACCCGTGACCGTCTCCGACAACGATATATACGACTCCGATCTTAAAACCATAGCCGCTAGCTTTCTTCGAGGGTTTTCCTCTGAAAACAAACAACAACAGGCGGTGCCTAAGGCTGAACCGGCACCGAGAAAAGCCGCTGATAGCTTTGGCCAACGTACCTCTATTTACCGAGGAGTCACCAGGTAAAATATATAAATGATACTACGATATAAACCTATAGAATATGGATTACGAAATTTATTAAATTTCAGTTTCATTCTGTTTCGGTTGAATTTTTAGGCATAGATGGACTGGAAGATATGAGGCTCACTTGTGGGACAATAGTTGCAGAAGAGAGGGCCAAAGTAGGAAAGGAAGGCAAGGTAAACGATTACAAAAAGTTCCGATGATCTTTGCCTTACTGATTGTGCATGCATTGGTACTCATTACTGAACAGAAATATAAGTACTATATATGTTATTATGAATGACTGATGATTCTAATATGTTGGTTCTTTATGTGGCATCTTTCACGACGATTAACGAATGATTGCTGCCATGGATGGATGCTCAAATCGTTTCATCATTGTTTTTATTTTAGTTTATTTGGGTGAGTTTCCAGTTCTAACCACGCTATAATTAAATATCATCATTTTTCTTTTCTTTTTTACGCATAAATTCTCATATTCATCACTTTGGTTCCTATTTATAATTAGGTGGGTATGATAAGGAAGATAAAGCAGCAAGAGCTTATGATCTTGCAGCTCTAAAGTACTGGGGTGCGACCACCACCACCACTAACTTTCCGGTAAACTCTACAGTTTCTCCGATTCCGTCTTCCACTTCATTGCCTTCTTTTATTCGAACTTGTTGCAAAAAAGATTATCCTTTTCTTTCATCGATCAGATTTCTAACTACGAGAAAGAACTAGAAGAGATGAAGAACATGACTCGGCAAGAGTTCATCGCTTCACTACGAAGGTAAAACATTAACTTATATATACATATATTTAAATAATAATTGCAAAGACTAAGCTTTCTTTTATGGTTGAACTTGCCCCCCCCCCCCAGGAAAAGTAGTGGATTTTCAAGGGGTGCATCGATCTACAGAGGGGTCACAAGGCATCATCAACATGGGAGGTGGCAGGCAAGAATTGGAAGAGTTGCAGGCAACAAAGATCTTTATCTGGGAACATTTAGTGAGTGAATTTTTCTCTTCCTTTTTATTAATTAATTTATGTTATTTTTTTAACCAGGAATCTTTGTTTTGCAGGCACCCAAGAAGAAGCAGCTGAGGCGTATGACATTGCTGCAATAAAATTTAGAGGCCTAAACGCAGTGACGAACTTCGACATGAGCCGATACGACGTGAATAGCATCGCCAACAGTAATCTTCCCATCGGCGGACTTAGCGGCGGCAAATCCAGAAACTGGTCAGATTCAGCTTCTGTTACTAAGCGCACTGCTGTCACCGAGGACGAGAACTCAGCAGCATTTTCCGTCACCTTTGCATCTAAGCCTTCTGCTGCTGCAGGCTCCAATCTCAGCAGCTTTGCAATTCCCATCAAGCAGGACACATCTGATTATTGGTCTAACATCTTCGGATATAACAACAGTACAGCAAAGAACCCAAGTGTTGCAGTTGCAGCAGCTACCATGTTACAAACTCCGACCTCCTTCGGCATGGATTTCGGTGTAAATTCCAATGATTACAATGTTAGTACTTCAACACCTTCGATTTCACCGATCGCCTTGAACAACAGCGGTATAAACAACGAGGGCTCAACTGGCTATCACCATAGCTGGAACATTGCACAAACATTGCATTCTTATCAGACTGCAAAGCAAAGCCTCTCAGTATTGCAGACACCGATTTTTGGCATGGAATGAGCTGAGGGACAAGAATTACTGTGGGGGGTAATTTTTTTTTACTTGAATAGACTGACAAAGCATAGTATTTCCCAGGAGCTGACACTACTAACTGGGGATTATTTTTGTTTAAGGCACTTGCTTCCTTCATGTATCTTTTTTCTTTGTTTAGCTTTTTGTGCTTTACTGACATGAGTTCTATATATATATATATATATATGGGTATAAAAGAAAAAGGGTAGCCTTTTTATCTACCGTTCGTATCAAATAATCAATGTGAAATGCACCATTAAATTTGTAGCAAAGGATGTGATTGGAATATGGGAATGAAATGAACCACAAAAGGAAAATCTTTTCAGACTCCTGAAACTTTTGACAAAATCTGTAAAAAACTTAAAGAACATCAATGCATATGGATTACAGAAACACTAAGATATTGAAGCTTTAATCTGCAATGGTGCAAAGTAATGCACCCAACGCGGCATCAAACATGCTAAAAAACAAAGAAAAGGAAAACAAAAAGAGAAGAAAGATCCAGCCAACAGAGTGGTGTCGCTGCTTAACCCTTACACCGCCGCTTCAAACGCCACCAATCAGCTATCGGAGATCCCTCAGCGACAGTGAACCCGCTGGTTCCGCGTCTGAAGGTGAAAATCGAACTACGTCTGTAACCCCCCAGACCGATGCGGGTACCCCGATCCGATCCGGGAAGTCACATTAGGGCAACCGGAGCGACCCACTATAAAAATAGCGGAAAATTTAAAACTTTTATTGAAACATGTAACTTATAAAATCAGTTGTCACTATTTAAAAATAAAACAGATTTCCAGACTCGTATATAAATCAAAATACAATTACATGCCCCCTAATCACATGTACCATACTCTGCAACAACACCGGAAGAACTCCCTTACTGAAGTCGATGGATGCACTGGTACAATTCTTTTAACCTGAAAAGGTGAGTAATAGAGTGAGCTTTGGAAAGCTCAGTAATACAGAACTACCAGATGATGCTGAAAAACGTGCAGATACAGATAAACATATTTTCCTTATTGGTTCAGATATTTACAGATTTTTATGTTAAGCAGAGATCCTACTGATATTTCAGATGGTAACGGACAATGAGCTTTTGTTTCAGAGAAATATTTCGGATGACTGAGTTCAGGAGATCAGAATAGGTTTTCTAGTGTGTTCCCAAAAACCATGTAACTTTTCAGATCTTTTAAAACATATATATATACCCCCATCCGTCACGAACAAAATGTATAGGTTCCCCAGAACCATACAACCCCGTCACTAACAGTAAGGCCCTGAGCACACAGCCGAGGAACCGGTAAGTAAGGCCCTGAGCACACAGCCGAGGAACCTCCAAGTAATCTTCCTCCAACAATACCCCCCAATAAAACATGTTCCGTCCGTAAACGGATATATCAAAAATCAAAACATAATTCAAGTCAAGTATCATATCAGAATCCAGGTCATGTATCAGATCAGAATCCATGTCAATATCATATCAGAATCCAGGTCAGGATCATAACAGAATTCAAGTCGGAAATCAGATAAAATATTATATGATTAGGAAACACACCAGAGTTTACAGATATTATTCAGAGGTATTGGATAATCTTAACAGGTAGAGAAACATGAATATTCAGTATACCGATAGGATATCAGAATTTAGAATCACTATTTGAAAGAGTTCATTAACTGACAGAATCATCAGTTATTCAGAATGTGAATTATCAGGATATATCTTATTCGGACAGTTTTCAGAAGCTGTACGTAATCAGAAGGGTATTCAGATCCTTTACATCCATGTCGATTGATCGGATAATCGAACAACTTGAGAACGAAGATTCAGAACCTTAACAATCTATGTCGACTGGTCAATTCATTTTCCTTCTAGGGTATTTACTCTTTAATACCACAAATTCTTGTCCGTAGATCATTTTCGGAATTATCGTTGAATAAATCTTCCAATGACTTTATTTCATTTCCACGCTTCCACAATATCATGAAATGTTGACGTACTTGATTAATTGTTCATAACCCAATGTAATTGTACACTACGTAAACTCATCAGAGTTTCCAGACTTATCCAAATCACTTACTAAATCCTCAGTCATTGAGGTTACCTATTTCATTTAGCAGTCATCTCCATTCCAGTTACTTCAGAATTTTCCAGAGTAATTCAAACGTTCCTGAATTTCAGATACATGTTGTACTTCCATCCCATTCAATTTGGTCTTCGTGGTTGATTGTTGAACAAACGTCCAATTCTTAGTACTGAATACAATCTAGAGCTGAGTTGAATACTTCCAAAATTTATCATCGAGCCAAACTTGAAGATTAACACATGTTCCAGTAATATCTATGTCATTCAGGTATTGACATAGCTTTAGGGTTGATCTATTCACTTGAATTGTTTTCCATTACCTTTAAAGGTAGTCCAATACTTATCTTACTTGGATTCCTTAATTAATCCAAGACATTTACTTAATTTAGGCCATAAGGGTATTTTGGTAATTTTGATGTTCAGTTTTATTCCATTCATTTCAGAGCTCGAGGATATTCAATCATTCCTGAGCTTGGTGATATTCTTGGGTCATTTCTATTACAGGGTATTTTCATTTTACAGATTCAGCGTATTTCAATCATTTTCCTCCATCCAGTCTTATTATTTAATTCCAATTTATCATCTATTCCAGTCCGTTCGAACAATTCTGATAAAAGAGCACCCTCCGATAAATTGTTCTTCAGATATTTACTCATAACTCGGATATTTTCGGGTCAAGTGCCTTCTCAGATTTTACAAACGCAATACTATGAATTTTTCTTTACAAAGACAGAATATTAATAATTAAATTTGTACTTAATCGAGTTAAGTACAAATCCTCAAAGTACTTTCTCCTTCAGGGTCAACTCGGACTATTTACCACTCAAGGGCATTTACGTAATTTCTTAACCAGATAATTTCAATATTAGCTCTTAACGAAAATAATAAAATTTAGAGATCCTATGATTAATTGATTTCCCGAACCTTCTCTGATCTTGAAGTGATTCCTTAACATACTTCTAGTATCTTGCATAAACACTCTTGGTGTTAAAAACTGGTTATCCATAATTTCCAAGTAAAACTAACATTTCTTATGCACATCAATAGTTTTAGCAGATCAATAATTCTTTTCAGATTTATTAATCCACTTCCAGGGACAATTCTTGTCATTTTCCAACATAAGTGTAATTTCGTAATTTTACCTAATCGAAATATTCTCATAATTTATCATCTAAGTACCTTTAATGAGATAAATTATAATCTACAATCCATGGTTGATTCTTTTATCACTTAATTCCAGAACTTATAATTTAATTCCAACTGTCCTCCAATTTCTTATAATAGTCATCTGAGCCATATTCAGTTATCTACTTTCTACCGTATTCGTATCTAGTGTAGATCTTCATTAATTACACATATAAGACCAAACATTTCCATTCATGCATTTTATCAATACCAACATGTTCTATAAAGCATAAAGAGGTAGTAAAGTATTACCTCGATTTCCGTGTAATACTGATCGACCATAAAAATTCCATTCGAACGCCTTTGATCTTCAATTCAACTTCCAATAATTCCTCAGATACATATCAACATAAATTATATCAGAAACGGAGCTTAATTACGATAAACGGATCGAATCGGGTGATAAATCAGTGAAAGACGGCTTACCGGGTTTGAATTTGGCGAAACGGACTTCGGATTCGGATTCAGGACGTCGAAAGCATAAAATATGACTTTTCGGAAATTTGGAATTTTCGGTCAAATCAAAGTCAACGGGTTTGACTGACAATTACGAGGCCTTCGGGTTCGAATTTCGAAAAACGGACAGCGGAATCGGATTTGGAACGTCGAAAAATGTCAGGATAGGTATACTCAATCGAAGTCAAAGGTCGTTTAATGCCCGATCAAAGCCGGTCAAAGTTTTGGTCAACAGTGGTCAACTCCGGTCAACGGGTCAATGGTCAACGGGTCGGGTCAACGGGTCGGGTCGGGTCAACGGGTCGGGTCGGGTTGTGACCGGTCAAACCGGCCAAAACAGTTCCAAAACCGGTCAAACCGGTCACTTTTTCCTTCCCCACGCGCAGTGGCGGCGCGTGGGGGCGCGTGAACAGTGATAAAATCCCGGAAAATTTTCTAAAAATTATTTTGAGCGATTTCGAGATACTTACAAAGCTCGGTTCACAATTTTGAACGGCGGAGAGCTCGATTTCAACAAATCGGGAAGTTTGACCGGTTCACCTCCCAACGCGCCGCCGCCGCCGGAGAAAAACAAGAACACCGCTGGACTCGGAACGGCACAAGGAACACGATGGTGCGGGAGGTGTCGTAAACGGATGACCCGATCGTCGTGAATCGATGAAAAACCAACTAAAACCGAGTTATTACCGACGATACTTCCGACTGAAATTCACGACGAACGGTTATGATTCACGACGAAAGGTTTTAGGGGTTTTGTTCCTCGGTTGGCAACGAACACGATGGTGGTTTCGGCTCGTCGATCGGAGGTCGGACGGCGAGTAGATCGGAGTTCGAAGTAGGGAGAACGGGAGAGGAAAACTGGAAAATTTTCCAGAAACATACGGGAGTCTGGGGGGTTTATAACATCTCATAATTAAAAATGGCTAAACCAAGAGTTTAGCCATTGAACTTCCTGCACTTCTTAAAACGGTCTGTCAACTTTGAAATCTTACAATTTAATCCCTTATTTCTTTCAAAATACCAAATTAAATCCATCAATTTATATTTTCTTAAATTTAGCCCCTAAATTGGGGTGTTACAATTCTCCCTCCTTAAAAAATTCGTCCTCGAAATTCATTCATGTCACATAATTGCATAAATAAAACTTCCATCAGTTCTTTCAAATCTATCAATAGCTTTTATAAAAGTACGATTCCTCCACTTATCCTTAACTAGCTGAGCATACATTCTTATCATAAATTTTCCTTATTTCAATAAAAGAATTTAAAATTTTCGCGAGTAATCAATCTCTTCAGAATTCTCCCTCAGTCCAAGTAAATAATCAGAACAACTTT